CTATTGTGTATTATTTAAGCAAAAGCTACTTCAAGGTTGCCAAAATTCGTTTGTTTTAAAGTTTTTAATCGTTGTAAAAATACGCACGAAAGTGCTGATGCTCCTACTCAAAAGATCTCAACAGGAGCTGAAACATTTTAAAACTTGATAAAAATTTTGAAAAAAGTATAATCACACAATTAGATTTAAAAAGTTTAAAATATTGTATAAGTGAATATTAAAAAAAAAGCTTGTTTTCGTAATATGAACGATCACTTTTATAGAACTTACGGTTTACCATTCATGGACTTTTCATGTCTATGGATGGTTTCATCAAAAATGGAAACTTTTATGATTTGTTGCAATATTGAATGGAATCATCAGATGCAACTTTGAGTAAGCATTTTCAAATCAGCAAAATAAAAAAAAAATGCTCTTTATATTGCACCAATGATACAAAATGAGTTTATTAAAATCTGTGGTGACGAGATTATTGAATCAATCATTGGTTTAGTGAAAAGCATTTTCGAATTTTCTGTAATTACTGACATAATCTATGAAATATTCAGAAAGAAAGAATTATCTGTACTTTGACAGAACAAACGAATTTAATTAAAGATTTTATTGGCTATTTTAAATGAAGAAAAAATGGACTCTGAAAATAATTGAAAATTCTATGTTAAATTATTACTTGAAGAATATTATCTGGATTTAAACAAGTTAAGATGGTTCTGCAATATCTGGTAATGTAAATGGCGTACTATCCAGGATTAAAAATGAATAGCCAAAAGCAATTTTTATTTATTGCGCGTCATGTAGGTTAAACCTTGTATTAAATTAACTTTGTATTGTAATTAGATCATCAATTAAATCACAATTAAATCAGCAATTTCCTTTTTCGATTCAATCAATTAAATTAATTAAATCATGTGGCGTAATTAAATCAGCAATTTCCTTTTTTAGAAGAAATTCTCTCAGAAGATGTTTAATTTCAAATATCCAAATGCTAAGCGAAACTCATTGAATTGCTAAATATAAAAGCATACGAGTACTTTACAAACATTTTGAATAATACATTCATAGCTGAGTATTCTATGGGTATGTACTGTACTGTACGTACAAACTCAGACATAAGAACAGTTGCTCATAAACTGTTATGATGGTGTATTTCACCGTGTTTATTGCATCTTTAATTATAATTAATAATTGTTCAAGTATGCTTGAATCTATTACACAAAAACTTCAATTAGTTCACCTGTATTAAAAATATAAAAAGTACATAAAACATTTTAGATGATTTATTAAATGTCACAGAACAAATGCAGGAAATGTTTTTAAGGTTACTTGCAATTTATCAGAAAACTTAAACATTAAAATATCTGTACCAAGACAATGTAGAAAATAAATCCATGGAAGTAACGTCGGATTTTCAACTGCCGAAGAATATTACAGAAGAGCAATACTTTTTCCATATTTGGATTCGTTAATTGCATCGCCGAATGACTGTTTATCTCCGGAAAATGGAATTTTCAATTTATTTTACGTACGATAAATAAATGGAAAATGGGCCGAAAGAAATAAATAATCTTTTAATAAAGATTATTTGCTTTTTTCTTAACAGACAATTTTTTCAATGAATCACTTTCCTGGTTTGATTATTGGCAAGTAAAAATAAAAAAATCAATGGGGACAGAGAATTTTATGATCAAACCTTTTAAAATTTACTGAATACATTCCTCATATTAATAAGGTATATACTCATTATTAATGTTATTGGTTACAACGTCCTCGATGTTTGGATCGGTGGTCGAGTGGATTAAACCTCTGATCACTGTTAATTGGTTGTGAGTTCGCGTTTCATCAATGCCCGGCTACGTGGAATTTTTCCGGGTTTTCTTCAGATGTGTAACACCTAGGGCCTTAGTCTCGAGTTTTTCGTGTTACAACTCCCAACGTGTTGAAGGTGTCACGTGGTACCATCTCACACACTGACGTCAAATTGGTAGTCTCGAGTTCTAACTCACGTGCTTTCCCATCTCACCATGCGAGTTGCTACTCACGTTGAGTCGAGCATGTGAGATCGCTACACGAAAGTAAAAATGGCTGACAGATACGCAATTCTTATCGCTATCGAAGAGTTAGAAAGAGCCGAAAGACGTTGTTTGAGAAGGCAACGAATTTTTCGACCACAGTAGATGACATTTCTTTTCGTGTCAAGACAATACTAATAAAAAAAAACTTTAATACATAATTGATAAATGTATATAGCAAATTTTTCTAAAAATAAAAAGAAGTATGTAATTCATCGAAAAAGAGTATTAAAATGATAGTAAATTATATGTATAGATTATTAAAAGCATAGACACTACATTAAGATTATTAATCAGAAGTGTTAAGTTCTGATTAATAAATAATCTTAATAGACAAAACAATTTAAGAAATAGATCAAGGAAGAAAACTATATGAAGAAAGGATTAAGCTTAAATACATTTTCCATTACATAACGGATTTTTTAGATTCAACACACGCAATTAATTTTTCAAGTAATTCTCTCCACAAAGCGAATTGTCTTTTTCTTGTAAATTCGTTGTCGAATTTTCCGCTGTTCATTTTCTTATTATTTTCTATATATGTTACTAATATTTCTTTTTGTTCTTCGCTTATTTTTTAAAATAAAACATTCGAGGTTTTCATTTTGTTTCTGCGTACTATATTGCCACAAGACAACTTTTAACTGTAGCACGTGTAAACTAATTCGCGTTGATTTGTTTACAACTTGTTACAGTTACGTTGATTGGTCGAATCACTATAGTCGCAAACCCAGATGCATTGTAAATAATCCCATCATGCTTATCGACAAACGTAAACAAGTGAATATGACCTACTTCCGCTCGCCTTTCGAGTTCACTCGAAAGGTCTAACTCGAGACTACCGATTATGTGAGTCATAGTAACACGAGTGAGTTCGATGACGTCAGTTCGAGTACAACACGAAAAACTCGAGACTAAGGGCCCTAAACAGAGCCCAGTTTCGCATAGAAGATCCTCCCTGGAGGCACCCATCTTTGGCATGTAGCGCGTTGTTTTATTTCATTGACCAATATCGATTGAAAAATCTTTCAGTATCTTAAGACGCGTCAAAACATCTACTATGAGTAAGATCGCCTTTCTGATTTGTGTATTCTTGCGTATATAAAGGATAATTGTCCTAAGCTAAAAATACGTTCATTGAAGACATTTTAAACAATTTTTCCAAGAACCCAAGGCGTTTAAGTTATTTGTCTTTTTTTTGTTAATATTTTTAATAAGTATTGGTCCCCCTTTAAAACATTTCTGCATACGCCTATGTCAGCACATCGAACTCATGCTATTATTCTCTTGTCAATTCGTTTACCGCCATCTCATTGACTAATTTTTAGTAGCAGCAAACTAAAATGCCGAAGTAACAATATCATAATGCCTTATAATTTACACAGTTTAGTGAGTCTTTCCACTCACTAATGGAATACGCTTTACAGATCGATTTCCGGACACTCTGTGTGTTCTATTCATGCGAGTAAGTTAAGGCGAGATCGACTGTAACACGAAAAGTTTGAAATAAGGGACCCGTGTTGGCGCGTAGTATTCATAAATGAATTGATATAGGCTATAGATATTTTACAATAAATTAATCTTTTACCATCCGACAGTCCATATTGTGAGCTTGGTCGATTCCATGAAGGGCCCGCAAAAAAGGTTCTCTTAACGCCCACAGGGCCGAAAAAATTTTAAAAATATATAATTTCATTACTTATTAAAAATGTTATAATTATTACAATTGCAAATTTATTATTGAAAATAATAAAAGCTACAAATTTTGTACCTTTTATTATACAAAAAATTCGTTAATATTGAATCTTGTATTAGAAATTAACGTTGTTATATATCATCACGTTTTTACTTGCAGAAATATGATTAAATTTAAATAGTAATCATTAATAATATAATTTAAAAATTACTTCTACAGTTTTTTCTTATTAGTTGTGACTTGATTTTATTGTTGTTTCAGAATGTAAAAGGTCTTATATAGAAAGGCCTTCTTCTCTAAGTTAATACGTGGACTTGAGATGTCTCTTTTATAACAGATTTATATAGTGTAAAGGTCATATAACACATCAACCTTTAAATATTATACAATTTAAGACCATAGCTAGTATTAAATTTCAATACTAGATAGTCAGTATCTTATAATTTATGATTGTTTTAAGACTGTAAAAGTAAAACAGCATACATTCCTTATGCATAAAAAAGTCATAACTACTTGATTTATGAAATATTTAATTTATTTTCAAGTTTTCTACATCAAAAATAATATTTTTCATACGCAAATAATTGTTTTCCGAGTAAATTTTCAAGTACTCGAGTAGATGATAAAAAAAATAGTTATAATAGCAATAAATTGCTGCAATATGTTATTACTAGAAAGTTTAATAATTCAAATATTTATAAAAATTTGATTTTTAATAACTTTAAAACCGATTCTATCTTCCGTAATTCTCAATTTAAATCACTTAGCCTAAATATTTGCATAAAATAAAAACCGATTTTAATTTTTAATTCCTTTTCTCGCTTTATGTTTCTAAAATTTCATAAAAAAACCATTTTAAAAAAGAACGAATATAAAAAAGTATGTTTTAAATATGGCTAGAAAATTAAATTTTTATTTACTTAATCTTCTCTTCACTTTTAGCAAAACGAGTAATTTATTTTAAAATTTATAAATTCTTAATTACATTTCCTAACCTGTGGTTCGCGAACCACTGGAAATTTAGATTCTTATTCAAAAACAATGCTATGTTTTTTAATGTTAGGAAGAAGATTGAGAAGTGTAGATTTAATACAATAAAACATTTATTTATAATGTTTAATGCGTTAATTAATTTGGATATTCACTAAATTTCATTTATAAAACATTTTATTGGAAAATTTCATACTTTAATACAAAAAATATTAATATAATAATAAGAAAAAAAACCATAAAAATTATTATTTTTATTATAAAATTTATTAGTATATGATGTAATTTCTTAGGCAAATTGCCGATAATCTTTTAAAGAAATTCTTTGTACATTGTACAATTAATAACCATACAAACTGAGTGGATTTCTGTCTTTAACTGATGGTCCATCATATATAATCCTTTTCTTATTTTCTTGAACGGGTTTCATGTTTCGATTATTATAAAATTCTCGATAATTTGGTTGAGGAACATAAGGAGTATGTGGTATGTAACCAGGTCTTGGATAGTATTGAAAGGGTACAAACTCGTGTACACGAGGACGTTCTTTCCTATAATCACTTACAACACTTACAACAGGTTTACTATAAACAGAATGAGTAGAATCTGGATAATAATAATGTGGAGAAAGATCATAATGTGTCTTATAGTCCGTCTGTTTACCGTCATTATAGCCTTGATTGAAATAACTCGTTACTATAGCTGGGTGATGAGGTTTCAATGTGTCCAATTCTGGTTTTGCAGTTCGTTTCATTACCGTAGGTCTAGACTGTTGATAAAATGTTGGTATGTACGGTCTTCCAGATTCGTACAGAGGTTGATCTCTTGGATCTCTAGCGTAGTCTTTATATCTTACATCGTAAAATGGATCCTGTTCTCTGGATTCTAGACCGAATGCAAAAGCTATTGAAACCAAGATGATTAATATCTGTAAATAAACGTAAAAAGAAAATTTTATATACTGTTATAATTATGCTGTGGTGGTTTTATGCTACGCAAATTATGACCTTAATCTTATAGGAGGTCAGACACACTCAAATAAGTTTATCGATACTCCGCCTTTAGTATTCAGAATCCTAGATCTTCTATGTTAAATATCCTATCTTAAATGTTTAACAATACATATAAAAGGCATCTCCATTTTTGCTTTGAGTCTCGTATAATTTAAAACCACCATTAATATATTATACAATATTACTGTATATAAATATACAAAAAATTCAAATGATAAAGAATGAATTTTAAATATTTTTATTTAAATCAAAATGTCATGCTTTTAAACTAAACTTTGAAATATTCGATTTCGTACTTTTTAAGTGCTTTTTTAAAGTACAAGTAGAATTGAAGAAACTGAAATGTCGAATTCAAGGAGGAGAATTACGATAAAAATTAGAATATAAAAATACCATGAAAATTACATGATATTTTCTTTAAGACGATGATAATACTATCAGAATCTTGAGTTAATCAGTCACAAAATACTTTAAGAGCAGCCAACATGAGACAATATAATATTAATTGAATTAATGTAACATTCAGCAGTAGTTATTTATATAAAATGTCACTTAATTAAATAAATAATATTTAAATTATTAACATTAAATAATATTTTATTTAATTTTAAGTTTTAATGCAACGTAGTTTTATTCTCAATTATCTAATAAAATGTAACGAATTTCCTTCAGAATGTGAAGTTTCATTTTCATTTCAAACTTAACCGAGTTGTTTTAAATAATTTATCGTACCCAAAAGGAATAATCTAAAACGTTTTTAGCCAATAAAGAAATAATTACAGCTTTATTTCTTGTAGATAAATCATCAAATAAGTTATTTATCAGTAAATTATTAATTCTGCAATTGTAAATCTTTGTTATAATATAAATAAAAAATTCGTTTAATTTTATAAAAAAACAACACTCCCGAATGTTTTAGAAAAAAAAAATAATAAAATTTTTCTCCCTTCTCAAAAACAATTCTAATTTTAGGTTCTGAAAAGCGGAATTAGGATTGTGAGATCCTAAAGGGAACAATTAAAATTTCAGGATAACTACGAAGTTAACAAAGAATTGAAATTTCAAGATACCCATAAGCATAACTCAAAGGGTAAAAAGAGTGAAAAAATAAACATTTTATATTCTCTAAAACTCGAGGATCGTTCATCAAATAAATACGAGAATTTACATAATACAAAAGAAATATTTAGAAATCAAAATTATAATATATTCAAATTTGAAATAAAAATCAATAACATCCACAAAATTCTTCTATTGAAAAACAATTATGTAATTAAATGTTACCCATGTCTCAGGAGGATCGAAAATTCTATTCCCGATATTAAATTAAAGAAAGGGGATGCCAACTAAAAAATGCTCAAAAAATTTAACAATTTCATATTTATAAATATAAAAATTATTATTTTATTAATAAATTATTTTTTGAAAAACTTCTTACCTTTTTCATTTTGATGTCAAGTAAAGAATTTCAATTTTTGTCAGTCTTTATATACGTTCGATAGTACTCTCGTTTTCACGTATACTTGTTTTGCTTTGACGTCAAAATCCACCTTTCCTTTAAGAGTTTTCGCCCTTCATTGTTACCATTCACCTCTTTTTGACCCCATGCCTGATGTCTACGTTTCTAAGAACGTAATTAGTTACTAAGTTCGTGTTCTACTTTTCTGCAATCATTTGCAAATCTTATGTTTTATAAATGATATTACTTTATTATTATTATTTTTTTTCTTTTGCGAACTTAATTAAAATATATAAAAATTCCGTCTTTTGTATCAAGTATTTAAATAAATTTAAATTATATAAAATATATGATGCATTTACTTCAAAAAAAGAATAATTAGTTTTGATATGAAATTTGCATATTTTTCCTAAGAAAAATATAAATTTGAATTTAAAAATAGGAAGAATAATTATTAATGTTGAGAAATTTATTTTATGTATAATTTTAAAATAATTATAAAGAAATNTTTGGAATTATTGCATTATACACATAAAGATGTTTGTGTTTTTCAATAGATAATTAAAAAATTTAAAGCTTCTAAATGTTTAGGCAATATTACTAGGCAATTTTACAGATAGTTAGTTTAGAAATGCAATGAGTTGTTTTCAGTCAAATTATTATAATAAATTTACAGTATATATTAAATATATATTTAATATAAATTTAAAATATATTCAAGATGAGATATTAAAGTTTTGGATGGATAATTACAGATTACATTTATAAATTAAAATTCAATTTATTCTATAACTGGAAAAATATTTCAAAAACGCCCCCATGTTAGCTTTCGCCTTATTGGTTAGTCTAAACAGTTCTCCAAGCTGATTGGCTTAGAGACATTACTAAAGAACGCTCATTCTTTATTATCTTCTATTTCTTACTTGTTCTTAAGCATTTTGTAAAATGAATCCATCCGCAATTGCTGGGCCAAGCTCTGAAAAACAGCTACAGATGTCATGTATCAGTGAGTTGCTAGTTCATAGTAGCGAGAGCGAAAGTGATTTGTCCTCCGACGACGAAATAGAGGAGGGAGAAGGACGACAAGAAGAGATACTAGGATCATCTAGCGAAGACGAAAAAGAAACCATTTATTAACCGTTCGGAAGTGAGACTTGGATACCACATGGAGAACCAAGAGAAGTTTTTTCCACTTTCGCAGAAGGTACGAATAAAAATAATTTCGAACAAGTCAAATATATATATACTGTTTATCACCACTAGAACGAAAAGTGATATAAAGTTAAATATATTTTAAATATAATATTATAGAAAAATGTTAGTCAGAATATTATATATATAAAACATTTTCTACAATTTTAGAATTGCTCGTTGATTTCGGCGAGAAACCTAGTGCACTCCAGATATTTGAATATTTTTTCGATGATGAGCTTACTAAACATTTTCTTATCAAACAAATTTGTTCGCCGAACAATCTACTCGCGAGAAAAGATCATCTCTTATGAAACGTAGAAGCAGAGACAAGGTATATATCAAATATGGAAAACTTAAAAAAATAAATTAATTTTAAATATATAATCAATTATATTCAAATATAAAATTGTTTAAAACTTAAATAATATTGTTATTAATGAATCGCTGTAAGAAATTTAGTTTATAAAAAAAATTAATTAATACCTTTATATTTAGATTTTAATTTTAAAATTACTCTAAATTAATTAAATAATTTAAATAAAGCTCTTTTATAAATCCATTTTTTTATGATTGAAAGCATTATTATTCTATACGAATCAATATTATTTTCTTAATTTTTAATGTCGTGGCTTTGTTTTATACTTTAAAAATTCATTTATTATTTATGAAATTTATAAAAATAATTTTTAGAATTAATGATATTTTTTAAAGAAACTTTCAAGTATTCTTTTATTCTAAAAAAGGAAGAAAAATTTAAAATAAATATTGAATAAATTCAACAAGCTTGGAAAGTTTTTAAGTTCTTATCTTTAATTTTAAAAAAATCTATAAACTAAATTGCTAATTTAAGTCTCTTGATATTTTATTTTAGGAATTTTTAATAAATATTTTAAGTTTCAAATTTATTTTTAAGGATATTTTTATAAATAATAAATTTAAAATTTTGAAATATATCAAGTATAAATTACGTTCTTGAAGTTAAAAATACTTTTAAAATATACTTTAAAATTAATAATAAAAGTTCATATATTAATCAATTTAAAATTTTTATAAATAATAAATAAATTTTTAAAGTAAATTAAATGTTTTCTTTTTTTTTTATCTTGAATTATTTCAAGACAACATATTAAATCTGAAAAATTGGTTTTAAATAAAGAAAAATTGCAACTGAATTTATTTTAAAATATTCAAAAATTATATAAAAATATATATATAATTCTAGTTAATATTTTCTATTTTGTTTGAATAAATATTAATGTATATTTATAAAATTTTTATTTAATATTTATAATGTTCTATAAAATCATTATGATCAAGTGTACAGAATAAGTTGCAACCAGGTCTACGTCGAGGGCCAATTTACGAGGTCCTTGAATCTAGAGGTGCTCCAGAATTTTAATTTTTTATATAATAAATACGTAAAAGAGATTTAAATCAACTTAATTTTGATAATTGATGAATATCTGATTATTTTTTGTTTTATTCCCATATTTTTATGGCTTTTGGAGAGCTCTGAGGCCACTCATTTGTAACCAGTCTGTACGTGTTTATGATTATAGTTATTTTGAACAATTTTCCTTGCTGCAAACTTAAATAAAGGCCTATACATATTTATCTTTCTATATAATCACTCAACCAAATAGGTTAAGTATAATGTTCAGCTTATATATCACTTGTAAATATAATATTTTAGTTAGTGAATATTATCTCTATTCTACTAAAGCTATAATCTAGCATTTAATCAAAATTACTACATTAAGTTATTCTTTATAGTTACACTCTAATCTTTCATTTCAAGTGAATTTGCCAAGAAACTTATTAATTAATGTAGTTTATATTATATAACTTTTGTATATTCAACAATTCAACAGTTTGTTAATGCATGGTTGAAACTTTATTCAGTACATTTACTTATGAAAATACTGTATAAAAGTTAATGCTATTAACAAGATTTATATTTCACAAAATTACAGAGTTTCATATAACTTAACAAGAAGATAAATTAGTAACTGAAAATACTTGAATAGTCAAGAGCAAATCCTTTTACAGAAGGCAATTAGAGGTTCTGCTGTCCCCTAACTAGAATTTGTAAGTTTTAGTCCGTACTGTCTGGCTTGCTAATTTAACTGCGATTTAATATTCTACTGTCTGTAGAGTTACATTAACGAGTGGGCATACCCGAGGCCTCATATATGCTCATTCTTAATATTTTTCTTTTATATCTGTATAATCCTGTAAAAATTCGGATCAGGGGCCTCAAAAGTGCATAAAACAGTCCCGGTGTCTGCTAGGCATAGAAGGATTTGTAACGTATTTGAGGCCTCACTGGCTAATTTCAATAACTTGACAAATTATTTATTCCATTGCATTTTATGTATATTTAAGGAAAACCTCTTTGTTATCAAATTTTATTTATTTTTTTTTTTAAATACTGGCGGCCTCAGAATGTTCAAGCTTCTTTCATCCTTGAGAGGCACTGATTTACTAAATTGAAACTAATTAAATGCATAATTTTAAGTTTAGTATAACTTTTTAGTACTTTAAACGTCAAGTTTTATCCGAATTAATAGAAAAAGTTATGATTTTATGAATATTGGTTGAAATAAAATTAAATTCTTCGAAATAAGTATCATATGCAATTTATGGATTGAAATAAGCATTACCATTTTAGAGTGATTTTTTTTATTTTTTGGGATCATTTATCATGAGTTAGTCGAATTATTTGACAGGAAAATTGTAGGTAAAAGTAACACTTACTCCACCTCTAAAATGATTGCTCTTTATAAGTTGAATTGTAGATGCTATCAACTTTAAAATAAGCTGATAGCATTTTACAAATAAACCAAAAAATTATAAAGTAAATGTTAAATCTCATCTATAAAATGTTTATTTTTCTCTATTTAATGATGGTGTAATTTAGGGGAAAAAAGCTTTTTTAAAAATATCTTTTTTGAATAATAGTTCTTTATTTATTAAAAACACCCTCTATTTTGTTTTAGTAAACACCCTATATATCGTGATGTAAATATCTTAAGGTGGATTTAATTTTTCACTACCAAGAAAGAATTTGACCTAACTCCTTTTTTTTGTCTTACTCAATTTAATTACTTTAGAAAACATTTCTAAATTTCGAAATACCTGCTTAAATTATTACTACATATAAACAAAAACAATGTCCAGGGACGTATTTAGGCCTATATATAAGTTTAACAAGCTGAAACTTAGAGCCTCACGCTACGAGGCTACAGTTTATGGCCTGGCACTTTTAAAATTGCTATTATTTAATAACGAGGAGATTTTCGGTTATGCGAAGCCCTAAGCGAGCATGGCTTGTTAGATCTTTTTATATAAATTAATAAAATGTAAGACTTATACTACACGATACTTAATATTGTACAAAATCTAGGATCGTAGCTGAGATCTGACTACCGAATTGTCAGGCTGAATCCAGGTCTTTGTGGCTAGAATAAGCATGGCCAACATACGGCCCGTCTAATGAATTTATGTGGCCCGCGATCAATCTTTCAATATTAGCTACTCAAGTCTGAATAGCTCGATGAAAAATTCTGACGTCTAAGAAAAAAGGTCAACAACTCACTATATGTTTAGAGTTAACCCTCCATTACAAATCTCATAAGTACAGCGTAGAATGTTGATAAAGCATGATATTGTGAAAAATGTATCTGTAATCTCTATCTACAATTTAGTCTCTACGGGGTAACATCACAATGAGATCCCGCACCACCTCAAAATCTTCCTAGGGCAGCCTCTGGTTCGGTCCATGGAAAAAGTTTTCTTTCCAATTCGGCCCGGGGACAAAAACTGTTGGCCACCCCTGGGCTAGAACCTTCTACTCCCCATAAAATTAATAACTTCAAATTTATGACTTTAAACATTATATTTTCGTTATTATAGTACTTAAATTTTGAAACTTACATTAAGAACTAACAGAAATGTCCCGGTTGTACCAGGACATTGATCGATAGCATCACTAGCTTAAATTGATGAGAAATCATTACTGATTGAAATTCTTGTTTTCTTTATTATGTCAGTTATTGTATTGAATAATCTTTAAAACTATCCATTTAAAATTTATGATATTTGATTTATGTACTTAATATTATATAATTTACACAATTTACTTGTACTATAAATCTAATAACTTATAGTAATGACTAATGAGATTCGGATAAAGATTAGCTTGTCTATTTGGCCTGGCTTCAGATACACAGTGGTCTCAAAATTTATTCTTTTTACAAAATCATGATTAAAAAAATGAAAATTTCTTCTGAGAAATATTTTAAAAATTGATTTCATACTTCTATGGCCTTCGAAGAGAAATGAGGCTCACATATAGAATTGAAAATTAGAGACATTAATTAGAATTTAATCTGAAAAACGAGGGTCTCATCTTTCACATTAAATTCTAATTAGTCACAAAGTTTGAGAGAGATGAGTTGAGACTGGACCAGCGAGTCTCAGCCCATTTTCATTTCTTCCAAACCTTGTGAGTAATTAGAGTCTAAGTAATTTATAATCGTTTCTAAAACTTGCAAGTTAGATTAGTTAATACTTCATTAGTTTCATTATTTTCAAGAAATATATCAAATTTTTAGCTTTAGAAGTGATTAAAAAATGATCGTAAATTGTGCTTTAAAAAATTATTTTCAAGCTTAACAGGATGAAAATCCGTTAAAACTCTCTCCAATTTTTCTTATAAAAAGATATTATAAAAACTAGGTCAGGTTAAAATTGTATTTTTTGAAATTATTAACTTTGTACTATAACAATTTGATTCATTAATAGTAGTAAACTTTCCTTATTTGTTTATTAAATTACTTAATACGAAAAGATGTATTCGAAATAGGTTAATGACCTTTCTAACAACAAATATATTTCCTCATATGATTTTATACTTATTAAAAATCTTATAGGGATAGTTATTTATAACAATAAAATATTAAGTTATACAGAAAATAATGTCATAATTCTTGACGTAATCTCCATTATTTTAAAAAATTAAGATTTTTCTTGATGATAAGCGGAAGTATCATAAGTTTAAGTTCGATAAAAACCACCCAGTTTTGGGTGGAAGCATCATTGAAGTGGAGTAGGCGAGAGTTAAATTTCTTTATTTCGACATAACCCCACCCAGAACAAATTTGTTTTTTTTATGCTTAATTATATGTAAAATTAGGTTATTTTATTTAAAAAACACAACAGAAATTTCATCGATCGAGTTGAAATGATAAATTCCAGTCGAGTGAACATACTAATGAATGTACTTTTAAAGAACAATTTATATACTTTTTCAATGGGTGAAGCTAGGTAAAAAAAAACCACAAAAAATGTCAAAGTACTTTATCACAGATGACATGTGTTACAGACATTTATACATCATTAATCCTTCAAAGGATTTCATTAAAAGCCTTCTGCAAAATGTCCTCCTGCAATGAAAATTACATTCTTGTCACATGCATCTGCAAGTACATGACAAAAGGTTCACTCTCAACTCGTCTTCTATTAACAGGCATTCCTTTACGAGACTTGTGGATTGTGAAGTATTCTTGATAGGAAATAATTCATTTCCTTCCCAAATCTCTTAGCTAATTAATAATAAGCAGTAAATTTTGGCAAATCTATTAAAATTTTAATGTGTTTATATCATTAGAAGATCACGTGTGTCTGTACTTAATCCAAAAACAGATACTCGACTTTCAACCGTGATATTTTATAGTTTACTTCATAAATTTTATTAAAATATGTAAATTTAAGGAAATGGATCGTTAGTTTGCATAATTAATTGTAGAAAATTGTAATTTGAATATAGTTTTAACGTCGTAAAAATTGGTTGAAAGTAATGAAAAATCTTTTATTCGTTTCTGCTCTTCGTAACGTTAATTGCTTAAAATTATTCGATTAATTAATTTTAAAATATTTTATAATTAGGTTTATGATCTCATTAAAAGTTGATTTTAAAATAATTTTTCCAGAAATTTATTTGAAAATATAATTCTTAAATGTAAGTTCATGCTTCTTTCATCCTTGAGAGGCACTGATTTACTAAATTGAAACTAATTAAATGCATAATTTTAAGTTTAGTATAACTTTTTAGTACTTTAAACGTCAAGTTTTATCCGAATTAATAGAAAAAGTTATGATTTTATGAATATTGGTTGAAATAAAATTAAATTCTTCGAAATAAGTATCATATGCAATTTATGGATTGAAATAAGCATTACCATTTTAGAGTGATTTTTTTTATTTTTTGGGATCATTTATCATGAGTTAGTCGAATTATTTGACAGGAAAATTGTAGGTAAAAGTAACACTTACTCCACCTCTAAAATGATTGCTCTTTATAAGTTGAATTGTAGATGCTATCAACTTTAAAATAAGCTGATAGCATTTTACAAATAAACCAAAAAATTATAAAGTAAATGTTAAATCTCATCTATAAAATGTTTATTTTTCTCTATTTAATGATGGTGTAATTTAGGGGAAAAAAGCTTTTTTAAAAATATCTTTTTTGAATAATAGTTCTTTATTTATTAAAAACACCCTCTATTTTGTTTTAGTAAACACCCTATATATCGTGATGTAAATATCTTAAGGTGGATTTAATTTTTCACTACCAAGAAAGAATTTGACCTAACTCCTTTTTTTTGTCTTACTCAATTTAATTACTTTAGAAAACATTTCTAAATTTCGAAATACCTGCTTAAATTATTACTACATATAAACAAAAACAATGTCCAGGGACGTATTTAGGCCTATATATAAGTTTAACAAGCTGAAACTTAGAGCCTCACGCTACGAGGCTACAGTTTATGGCCTGGCACTTTTAAAATTGCTATTATTTAATAACGAGGAGATTTTCGGTTATGCGAAGCCCTAAGTGAGCATGGCTTGTTAGATCTTTTTATATAAATTAATAAAATGTAAGACTTATACTACACGATACTTAATATTGTACAAAATCTAGGATCGTAGCTGAGATCTGACTACCGAATTGTCAGGCTGAATCCAGGTCTTTGTGGCTAGAATAAGCATGGCCAACATACGGCCCGTCTAATGAATTTATGTGGCCCGCGATCAATCTTTCAATATTANATTAATTATAATATTATTATTTAAAAACTAAATCTTTATTTCATTAAAGTACAGTATTTAATACTTTTTTTATTACTATAAAAATTCAGAGGAAAAAATGTATTCGTAATTCTTGAAGAATTGAGTTTTAAATTATTTTTTAACATGCATTTTTTATGTAGAAAATTGTTAATTCACAAGCATTATGACATGAAATGATTTATAAAAAATTATTTTATTTTATTTTCCTGCAAGTAATCTATCTTGAACACATGCCACGTTCACGTTTGGAAGAATGATCAGAAGAATATTGAATTATTAAAGACTGATTATTTGTGCTACGTGTAAGTGGAATGTCGTTATTTTTAATATATTTAGCATTATTTCCTGTAATTATCATGGATGTTGTATGGAAAGAACTCGAGCAAGAGCTGTTGAAAGCTGGATTCAAACCTCGAGCACCTTTTTCCTTCCTGATATCCGCACAACAACAGTACACCAGCTGTTTAAGATCTGCCTAAGACATAATAAATATCATAAATTATTTATATTGTAAATGAAGCAGTAATAAATTAGTCAAATTATTATATTAAAAAATATATTTCATAAATGTAAAGTAGCCCAAAAGTTAGTTAACCGTGTTTTAAGTTTACCGTCTACGGAATTCAGAAATACGAGAGAAAAACACAAAGTATTTGAATAAGAGCGATTTAATATCTTTAAAATGGTTAACTCACTTTTGGGCCACTCTATATAAAGCTGTAAATTCAACTTAACCGCACTCATCCACTTAGACACTAACAATGCAATTGCTGTTAGTTGCAACTAAGTAATTGTTGCAATTAGTTCCTAGATTAATGAAACAGGATCATTCAGCAATTTTCTGTCACATTTAAACAAAGGGATATTGATAGAGGTCAAGAGATAATTGATTATAATACAGATTACTACAGGCTACATCTCGAAAAGTAGTTTTAAAATAATCAAAAATTAGGTCAAAAACCGTTCAAAATAATTAACTTTTGGCATATTTAATGTAAGAATTAATACTTACACGAAAATTATCACTCATAAAACAATAGATTATCGGATTGACGAAGCTGTTAGCCATAGAAAGCCAATGACAACTGAAAAATGCTGCGATGTATCCATAATATTCGTTATCAGTATTTGGACTTAATTCATCTTTAAAGAAGTATATTAATAAATTGAGGACGTGTATAGGGAGCCAACACGCTGCGAATAATAGTACTACAACAGCCAACATTTTAACTACCTGCGAATATATTTGTACCAGATATTATCATCAAATTTTGTAAATAATTAATAATTACGACGATAAGAATTTTAATATACGTTAATAGAAGAAAAATGTAAGCTTAATTATGCTAAAAATACCATTAACCTTAATTTTTGCTTGTAGTTGTTGATGATCTCTTGTTGGATCAGCATTTCCTGGTAATGTATGTCTCCACATTTTCCAACCAACCGTTGAATATGTATAAATCAGAATGGTCATTGGAAGAACAAATGTTACCGTAAAGACAACGACTGTATATATCTGAAACAAAGAAGAATTTAAGTATCTTTGTAGTGTTTTAATTATTTAATTAAATTTTTTTGTATAAAAATAGTACTTTTCCGGAAATTTCGTTCCATTCTTCTACGCAGTCGTAATATTCTTCTCCACCCAAAACGAATTTCTTTGCTTTACCGTGTATGAGTTGTACACTAGATAATGCTATNATACGGAGAAAATGTAAAAATTTTCAATAATTAACATTGAAAATACTTATTTTCGTAAACAGCTGTTGTAAAATACTCACTTCCTAGAAGAAAAATAAAAATGACTAATATTTTCATAAAGTGAGATTTTAAAATTTCTTCCATTAGTCAAGAAATTAATTTAATTATTCGATCTGCTATTAAAATTACAAAATATTTTCTTAAATATTTACATGACAGGTAATTCTTAAGCTATTTAAGTAAATTAAAATTATTGGTTTAACTGAATTCCTTGCATAAAATGTTTACTTTTATAAATTTCTAACATGTCTGATAGATTGATATTTTATTTCAGCAATTAAAATATTTTAAGGATTGAAAAAAATCACAATAAGTAATGGTTACATATAGAAAAGCTTACTTTAACATTGTTGTAATTGTATATACTGTGTATACATTATTCCATAAGTAAGAAAGTAACGAATGACACTGCACATAAATCACAAAAAAAAAGTTATGTATACAGTATATAACTGAAGAAATGGAGAAGATATAACTCTACATTCACCAAATATTATTTGAAGAAGCTTCTAGAGTAATAAAAGAGATTGAATATGGAGGTAGAGTACATTTTCGATCCATAGAAAAGAAATGGTTTAACTACTAGTGATGAATATCAGCAATAATTCATACGAATATTTAAAAAACGTACCATAAAATTTTAAGATTAAGTTAGTTAACATCTTTAAAATTTAATCATATCTTAAAAATTTTCTCAAATTGATTTCATTTAGCTTGATTTTTATCATGTCCAAAATTCATCCACTCCATTTTAAGATAGAAGGCTGAAACTTCAAGGACATATTTAATCACTATGATAATGCATTTTAATAATGTTTTAGGTGAGTGGCCCATCCCCACCATCTTCCCACCCTTCGTTAAACATAACCAAATGCAGAATTTAATCATGATGTGTGTTTGTAATTGTGAATGAACACACACATGCCCACAGTAGCGATGTATATGGTGAGGTGTCTCCACACCATTATGCCCACCCTTAATCACAAAAAGAACGACCAATAAAAGAGATTTTTTTTTAAATTCTGTAGATTTTAAATGTGATTCTTTGTGTACAGTACATATGTGAAAGGTTCGTTATAATTTTTAAACATTTGTATTCTTGGTTTATATTTAAATGTTTAAAATGTTCGTTTTAATTTTTAAAGTATTAATCATGTGGTTTTCTTTTCCTTTGCGCGTGTAAAGTGTTAATTTCAATATGTAAATGACTAGTCACGTGTTTTTACAAGTGTAAAGTGTTAATTTCAACTTTTAAATAATTATACACGTGGATTTTGTTTACACGAGTATAATGTTTATTTCATTTCTTAAAAAATTACAAACGTTTCTTTATTTACAGATGCAAAAATATACATTTATTTTAATTTTTAGACATTTACACGTCTGTATTTTTTCTATTAACAAAAATGCATTAAAATATTTATTTTTAAGACAATAGTAAAATGTTTTCGTGTAATGTAAAGAAGACAACATGCTATCTTTTAATGCTTTTGTTACTTTCTTTTTGTTGCATCTTCTACATTTTAATGATATTTTATTCGTTTTTGGATAGTGTAGTAATTTATTTACACTAATTTTGCATTAAATTCATAGCTTTAGAATATCTTTATTATTAATACATGAAAGAAAAATACGGTTAAAGTAAACGTATATTAAAGTTCTTAATGTAAAAATTGAAATTGAAGTTTTAAACATTCATTAAGAGAGACTTTTATATTTTAAAGCAGAATTTTTAAACATTTTTCTAATCCTCCTTACTGAAAAATATTCTTAATCCCTAGTAGCAGTTTTAAATAACTTTTAATTAATTTATAACAAGTAAATNTGTATGTCTCCACATTTTCCAACCAACCGTTGAATATGTATAAATCAGAATGGTCATTGGAAGAACAAATGTTACCGTAAAGACAACGACTGTATATATCTGAAACAAAGAAGAATTTAAGTATCTTTGTAGTGTTTTAATTATTTAATTAAATTTTTTTTGTATAAAAATAGTACTTTTCCGGAAATTTCGTTCCATTCTTCTACGCAGTCGTAATATTCTTCTCCACCCAAAACGAATTTCTTTGCTTTACCGTGTATGAGTTGTACACTAGATAATGCTATAGCCAGCAACCAGATGCAGAAAACGACTAAAGATCCACGAGATTTTGTCCAGCGAAAATTTAATGGGTACATTATGGCATAATATCTGAAAAAAATGTTTAAGTTTTTATTATTAAAATATTCAATACCTGATGACTTTAACTATAATACTCTACACGTCAATGGTTTTCAACACTTAAGACTGTTGCAAGATTCTCTGATACCCTTATAATAAATTTATTTACATTATGGATAAAAAATAAGCAATTTTATTATTAAAATATGGTAAATCTAACCGTAATTTTCTACATCAGAAGTTATCAACCCCTTGCTTTCGCGACATTGCAGTGTTACAAGTTTTCACGGATGTCACAGAATTTCTGATATTCAAAAATTTATTAAAATTTAAAATATTTTAAAAATAATTTTAATTTAAAATTTAAGTAAATTATTAGACATCAGATGTGTCCCCTCCACACAAAGAATGACAATTAGGGTGTCTGTTACAAAAAAAAAACCTATTGAAAACCACTGATTGCTCTGTGTAATAAATTTGTAATAATAAAAATAAAAATTAATAATTAATTTTATAATGATCATTAAAATAATTTTTTAAATGTATAATTCAGTTTAATGATCAATAGTTAAATGTTATTTACTTTTAGAATCATTAAATTTATTATATTAGTAGAGAAACTCTTTAAGCTCTAATTATAATATATATAATATTCATTATAATATTATAAAGTTGAAAAAATAAAATCTAATTTCCTCTAATATAACTTTAATTATGTAGAAATAATTAAAGCGAAAGTTGATTCCCAAATTTCATTGCCATTTTCATAATTAAATTTTGAATTCTGTCGGTAAAAAACAATACATTTATACATAAAATAAATGTAATTAAATTGGTATAAGTATATTTACTCTAATTATTATCGAGATACTTTAACTACTTAACTCATTATCAGTGATTCTCTTATGAGAAGAAAAATATGACTTAAATGGTCCTTTTCAAGTGACCTTTCGTTATCCAAAATATTTTAATTCAAAAAAAATTTAATTAATTAATCTAACTATATAAATAAATAGTCTTTCTAACACTTTTTTCTTCGTTGCTATCATTGAAATATTATATTTGTTCGTTATATCGAGGTAGATAAATCTATACTAAATATATAATTTTAAATTATTATAGTATATAAATGTAATATATTTATAATAATGCCTAATTTTATACTTGTAATAATAAAGATTAAGAGCNTTAAAAATAAAATTTAGCACATACTGTATAAAGACATATCTTTTGTTTTTTAATAAAAATTATTCCCATTTTTAAAGTGAAACTTTCTTTTTCTATGTCTAAACTTTCTTATTTTTAAAGAAATTTTCACTTTTAATAATAAATAAAAATTAATGTAAATCAGTAATAGAAACAGTATAACAGATGTGCAGGTAGTATATAAATCTAAAAAAAAATATTTTAAAAAATTAGTTTTTAAACACATATATATATATAAATACATAGAAAATTAAATAAAATTTTTAACACATTCGAATATTTTATGCTTATATATTTTTTTAATTCAGCTCAGCATAACTTTTATGCCTTTAAAAACAACATAGAAATCAACTAATAATAATTTATTCATTAATTAAAACATTATAGTTATTCCTGAACAAAATATCGATAATACATAAGTGCAGAGTGGCCCAAAAGTCAGTTAAGCGACCTTTTTATATCTCAATCAACTGACTTTTGGGCCACCCTGTACAGTATATAAACACATGACCTAAATTTCAAAATTAGAATGTCGCGCTATTATTATTATTATTATTATTAAAGATTTTCAATAATTAAAGGAAATTATATAACTATTTTCCTTTTTTAGAGAAATTAGTTCTCTTCACCAAGGAACTAATTAGAAAGTACAATGTTTGCGTGGTATGATCCCCCGTTTTATATAACGGTGGTGTAGTAACGATATAATTCACAGGAAATGAACAGAGGAAACATTATACAAGTTTACTACTCTACTAACTATCGTCATTAATATACCAAGAACGAGATACTGCTCGTTAATGACTAAATTATTAGCTCACACTTAGAATGTCACAGCAACTATATCTAGACCACTTTGGAATTTATCTTTAGTTTTTATTGCTGAAACTTAAGGAATTTCGCATTTAAAACTGTTGTATTCATTACTTAAAAATATTTTAAATTATTATAGTATATAAATGTAATATATTTATAATAATGCCTAATTTTATACTTGTAATAATAAAGATTAAGAGCATAGTCTTAATCATTGTGCAATTGTTAAAGAATATGCCTGTAATTTTAAGTTAGAAATGCACATAACAAAGCTGTCATCCTTTTACATTAAAATCTGTATAGCCTATTCTATGTTATTTTGTAAAAATAAGAACGTCAGATCGACGGATAGACCGACACTAATAGCTACTTTCAACATTGATGCTGGAACTAACCTAATAATCTTACTCAAGTATCCTCTCGCCAGTCCTACAAACTTTGGCAGAAACTGTATCAGTTTTACAATTTCCAATTTCATATACACACCTTCCCTGAAAGCGTATAAAATGAAAATGTAAATATCCTTATTTTCTACATTGTTTCCTGGGTCTGGAGCCAAAAACATTTAATAAAAAAGTAGAAAAAAAACGAGAAAATCTCAATGCGACATCATCAGACAGTCGTTGAAAGTTAGAAGAAGAAAAATAAATTCGATTATTTTAGAAATCCCAAGTGATGGCAACGTAATAAAATAAAACTTGGTAAGGTAACAGAAAAATTTTGGTATTTCTTCGAATTGGAGTCGGTCAAAATTCATCTTTCTCTTGAAAAGTTAGGGTATTCTTCTATGAATGTTTCTATAACAATATTAACTTAAAAGCTTTTATATAAAAACGTATACCGCAAACTTAAATGCTGTTACGGCAACAATTTTTGAAAGCGTAACCATGATCTGATATATAAAAAATTGTATCAAATCTTATCTATAAAACCGAATTTTAACGTAACGTAACACTACGTTTTATTCATGGAAATTCAGTGATGTATTTAACTTGTAAGTATATTCATCAGTATAGATCCTTCGTGTACTTCTATCGTAAAGGCCAAAACGTTTNACGTGGATTTTGTTTACACGAGTATAATGTTTATTTCATTTCTTAAAAAATTACAAACGTTTCTTTATTTACAGATGCAAAAATATACATTTATTTTAATTTTTAGACATTTACACGTCTGTATTTTTTCTATTAACAAAAATGCATTAAAATATTTATTTTTAAGACAATAGTAAAATGTTTTCGTGTAATGTAAAGAAGACAACATGCTATCTTTTAATGCTTTTGTTACTTTCTTTTTGTTGCATCTTCTACATTTTAATGATATTTTATTCGTTTTTGGATAGTGTAGTAATTTATTTACACTAATTTTGCATTAAATTCATAGCTTTAGAATATCTTTATTATTAATACATGAAAGAAAAATACGGTTAAAGTAAACGTATATTAAAGTTCTTAATGTAAAAATTGAAATTGAAGTTTTAAACATTCATTAAGAGAGACTTTTATATTTTAAAGCAGAATTTTTAAACATTTTTCTAATCCTCCTTACTGAAAAATATTCTTAATCCCTAGTAGCAGTTTTAAATAACTTTTAATTAATTTATAACAAGTAAATTTAAAGATTGTGTATTTATAAATAAACAAAACACCATTAAACTGGCTTAAATTAAAATTTAAATATTTTAAATTAAATGCATTTTATCTTTTAAGATACGTTTTTAATAGTTTTATTACGTTGTTTACTTCGTAAACAGTGTAAACAAGAATGATAACTAGGAAAATTAATGCAACTTATCTTAATATTTTTGCACTTTAAATAGATTTTGAAAATTCTCTGGCACTTTTTTTATGTTTAAAAAATGTTTATAAACCGTTAATTTATATTAATTTAGATGGTCTGAAATTCTCTTAATGCCTCAAATAGGCCTGTGTTGTACAATTTAATAAGGTTATTAATCTATGTAGCCTTCTGTAAATGGCATAGATATTCTTTATAATGGTAGAAATACATTAAATTGAATTAAGTTTAGCTGTTAAAATATGTTTATAACGTGTGCAGATGCGAGTAGAGTAAGGTACTACATTCTCTAAACAACATAAACAATGATGATAACTAGAACTGTAAACAAACAAATTTTTAGTGCTTTCTACGTTAATTTATATTTATGAATTATTAATTTAAACTAATAAATTATTTAAATTTCATTTATTTTATATCCGTGTAGTTGAATATGTTGTTAACTTTAATCTTTAATGATTAGTCGGTCTCTCACTCTCTATATGCTCGATAATTCTTGGAATATTGAGCACTTCGATTTTTTTTCCTACAAGATACGTACTCGCAACGTAATTTGGCACCTTTATACGTGATTAAAACACGTACGTCACAGTTAATCCTTCACAAATACACAAACAAAGCGGCCGAGAAATACAGCTCTGAGGAATCCAGGATCGAATCCCAGAAATTTTTCGAAGGTAATCTGTCCTCATCACTCCTATTGTAGACCTGGTAGATGGGTCTGAAAAGAGACCCCCTTCATTACCCCACAGAAAAGGGAAAGGCATATAAGCAGGAAGAATTACACACACATTTATTAAGGTAAACAATATTTATAAATACGCAATTACTAGATCATTCGGGTGTTTTCAAGAAAGCAATAACAGCAAAAAAAGAAAAAAAAGTGGAACAGCTTAATGACGTCATGAGGGATTAAGAGTTACAGAAAACTTCTGTAATGTTTCTTTATATAGAAATCTAAAAGAAAAAAATAAAATAAAATAAAATAAATCGAACAAAGTTGGAAAAAAATTCTCATTTCGTTTAAAATCAACATCGCAATATCCTTTTGTACTTCACAGTTGTAGTTTTTCGCTTCTCTTCACTCAGAATCTTTATTGGAGATACAGTTGCAATTCTTTTATTTATTGTGTAGATTCTGATCTACCTCCTGTTGGGAAGGTAATAAATTTTCGATTGACATTCCGCAATCTAAATTAAATTTGTTCTTTCTTAAATAATCCTTTGAAAAAGAAAAAAAAGAGATATTTTTTAAACATTTTTTTCAATTCTTCTTCAAGACATCTTCATAAACAATAATCAAATAAAATAATAAAAGTTATCATTATCATCGTCCCAATTATTTTATTTATTACTTGTATAAAAATTGTATAAATATATTCGAAAGTTTATTCTGTAAACATTTTCGTTTTTTTTGTGAAATTTTCAATTATTTATATTTATTTATTTGTTTTAAAATACAGACGAACCTTTGAACGACGGACATTGACTCCAACATAAAAAAATGGCTGGGTTTTTGGAGGTGGCCGTTGTTTTAAAGGTTTTTTTTGTACATATTTAAAGAAAGATACGTTCTTGAAAAATGGCCGCTCTTTACAGATGGCCGTTGTTAAAGGTTTTGAAACAATCTGGACGCTTGTTTCAGAGGTAATTTTGGGGTTTTTGGAGGTAATTTGTTTCATGTCTGGAGTAAGGATATAAATTGTAAATACTAATTAAATACAGTGGAACCCCGGTTAACGAACGTCCTGGTTAACGACCAAATCGGTTAACGAACTTTTATTTTGCAAAAATTTTGTCTCGGATAGCGAACAAAATTCGGATAACGAACGGTATTTTGTGTCAAATTTTAGTTGGTGTTAGGCATGCGCGAGTTAAGCATTGCTTTTCCGAGTGTTTGTGCTATACTTCTTTTTTCAGTTTTGTGATTTATATATTTAATCAATATGGCATCAAAGAAAGAAAAAAGTCATAGTGGCAATAGGAAACGACAACGCGCTATCGCATTTGAGAACGATTTTGCTTAAAAGAGTAAGACAATCAACTTTAGATCAATTTCTTGTTCCTTACGGAAAGAGTTTGTTTGTTTGTTAAGTTATGGCAACGCAACACTTAGGCGATCTGCCTAGGGGAATGCCTTCTGGGAGGTGTTTTTAAGGGAAACTGGTCCCTATTTAGGTATTACAGACGTGGAGAAAACCCGGAAAACTCCACGTGGCCAGCCCGTTTGAACGAGGTGCGAACCCACGAACGAACTCCCCCGTGTTCAAGGTACGAAGACCACTTAGCCACTGGTGGTTTTTTTTTTACCGAAAGAGACTTCGACTGGAAGAATCTTCCAATGAAGTGCTACCCCTTAGTTTTTGGAGGGGATTCCCCTTCTAAGCATTAAGGTTCGTACATCTCCACTTTTCTGCCACCAACTACAACAAACGAAGGTATGTACAGTGCTATTTTATTAAACAAAGTTTACATGTTTGTTGCTGTAACGATAGATACTACGCTTTCTTACATTTTCATCAAAGAAAATTACTGTATATTACAAATAAAATCACAAAAATTTCGGAGACTAGAACGGATTAATTGCATTTGCATTAATTTCTATGGGAAAAATTGCTTCGGTTAACGAACAATAACGAACGGAGTCGCGGAACGGATTAAGTTCGTTAACCGGGGTTCCACTGTATTTGGTAATTTTACCAAAATGTGCGAAAAATGTACAGTACACCCCACTTTACGACCAACCAGCTTTAACGTCCGATTTACTATATTTATATTATCGATAGATATATGTACTGATATACAACTTGAATTTCCAGTGTTATCGTTTTGAAGGTTTTTACCTCTAGATTTAGAGGTTTTTCTTGTCTACAGGTGAACTTGGAGGTGAGTTATATTTACAGGTGTTTTTAAAGGTTTGGTTTTAAGGGTATTATTATTCCTGTAGGCAATTAATAAAATTCAAAGCTGAATGTAAAATCTTCTTTCTAATCAATTACTGTTAGTTACAAAGAACGAGATTGCAATCATGTTGCAGGTTTAGGGATTTCACCCGAAATTTTGGAAATTTTAGACGTGAATTGGGGAATAAATTTCTGATGTGGGGTAATTTCTGAGAATACAGCCTTTATGTGTAATAGTAAGCCTTTGGGAAATTATAGTTTTGATTTACGACGGCTCGTTTAACAACGATATATTCAAAAAATCAATTAGACTATAGAATTAGATCATACTATAAGTATTGGTTTAAGCTTACTTTAATAGAATTTGCAGTAAACTGTACTGTAAAGGTGCACAATAATTCATGATGTTGGTTTAGGATATTCTTCTTTATATAGAAGTTAATCAAATGTACAGTACTTGAACTTTCTTTAATTCAGAATTTTTACCGAAAACGGTAATTTTATAGATATTCCGTACTAAAGAAAGATTATGTCTGTACAAAAATATCTTTTATATAAACTTAGAAAACATTTTAAAATATTTATACTCATCACACGTCCGGACTTTTCCGGACAGCATGCAATTTTTTCAATGTTACTAAACGTTGAGAAAATTGTAGTGAAAATGTCTGGGAATTTAATTGTTGGCGAGTGGATAAAACTACTGAACACTGGTAGTTAGTCGTGGGTCCTCACCAGCTGGCTGGCCACGTGGAATTTTCTAGATTTTCTTCACGTT